AAAAAAGTGGGGGGGGGGGGGGTGAACTATCCAGGGGTATTTGGTGCTGTAGCAAACAGCCATGCTGGCCAACTTAGGTGCTCCAGCTGTTTGCTCTGGATTTTACTTTGAAGGGTGCTGCTTCTTCCATCAGCTGGAACTCAGTGACAATCCCACCCAGCAGATCACAGAAGTGATACCCTGTGAAGTACAAACCACAGTAATCAGTTGAGCAGCTCATCCTTAATGTGGCAATCCACTGCAAACATCCAGGCTTTACTGTACAACATTGTCTACCTTTGCACAAATGTGGCAGACAAGCAAGTGCTCAGTCTCCTCTGAGATCCTGAGAAGGAGCAGCTTGTCAGCCCTAATAGTCTCCTTGCTTAACTGTGTAGAGCGTGGTTTAAAGTATTCACACTCATGCCACTGAGCCAGTTTCTTAAATCTGAGGAAGCTTGCATCCTAAGTATGCAAATGAGCAAAATGCAGAGAAGTTTTCTGTCTCTGCAGATCACTGCTATGTGACTTCTGAAAGTTAATGGCTTCCTTACAATATACTACTGTCATCTAGCAGTGCACCGATAAAGATTTTTGGGGCCGATACCAATAGCCGATTTTTAAGGAGGCATATCAGCCGATACCGGAAATCGGATCGGTACCAGCCTGGCAGCTTGAACAGCTGCGTGCAGCTGGTAAGTCTGTTGTGCTGGAAAGGGTGTGTGTGTGGGGGGGGTGCAGATCAAGGTCCCTGTGGTGAGGGAGGAGTGGGGCTGTGCCAGGGAAGGCGTGAGATGGAGCTGCGGTTCGTGGGGCAGGGGAGGGCAGGTGGCTCCCACAGCTGTGTGGCACTTTTCCAGTGGCTCCTGCCGCTCATCCGGGAGGGCATGGAAGGGGGGGGGTGTCATATGACCCTGGATTTGCGCAGGGTGGAGTGAGCTCTTTTCAGTGTGTGGGGGCTGTACTCGGGATGGGCGGCAGTGGCACTGGGAGGGGGAGATGGAGGGGGCTACAGTGAATTTTAGGGTGGCTGTAGCCCCTGTCCCATAGCCCCCTCCAAGCACCACTGCCACCCACCCTGAGCACAGCCCCCACATGCTGGAAAGAACCCACCCCACCCCACGCAGATCTGGGAGCACATGTCCCACCATGCTGTCCCAGATGAGTGATAGGAGCCACCAGATGAG